GCCCGGCGGTGCGATCTGGCTGCGATGCCCCACGCGAAAGGGAGGGAGCGGCGGGCGCGGCGTGGGTTTCTCGCGTCTGGTGGGATTCGCGCGCTGTGCGTGCGTGTTGGGGTTTTTGTGCTGGTTCGTTTCTGTTGTCCCGTCTGTTAGGATTTGGTTGGTTCGTCTTTAGCTGCTTCGTAGTCGTCGCTGCAAACCCTGGGGATTTTTAATCCGCTGCTGGCCTCGCGCCGGACGCACTCAGCCAGCAGCCACTCCTCCGCAGCCAGGCCGCAGTGCCCGTCGCTGTCTCAGTCGTCTCCGCTGGGTCAAACCGAAGCTCTTCTTACCGCCGTATGCTCGGCTGCCTAATCCAACTGCGCAGAGAGCTTCCGTGCTGGCGAGCCGAATTCCAAGCCCGCTTCGTGGGACTGGAATCGAGACCACGCCGCAGATCGGAAGCAACCTGCCAGTCAAATAGCTCGGAAAAGGGGAGCTAAAGTACCACTAGTGCTCATCTTGCCTCTTTGTGATCCGCCCCCCACTTCACTCTTTACCACCGCCGCCCGTTTGCATACTTATACGGGCTTCGGTGCGAGCATTTAATTTGTCCCAAGGGTTTCTCTTCTTAGCAGGCTTCCAGCTTCGTCTCGTCCCCCCTTCCAGTGCATATCTCAATTTTGGTTCGGTTGCTTGAACTGTACTGCGGCTTGCTGCTACTTTGTTATACCATCTTATTGTTGGTCTCATGGCTTGTTTTTGCTTTCTGCAGATCCGTGCGCCCAACAGAACTAGGATTTTTTGTGGTCCTTCATGAATCTTGAGGACAGTCTATACTAGGGGGGCAGTAGGGTACTACTACTGCTAGGATCTGGTATCCTCCGAAATGAGGGGGAGAAATGACGGGGGGCAGAGCAAGAGGCCCGTCGTGCTCTTCTGCGTCATGGTCGTGTGCCTCTGCCTCCTCTTCCTCTATTTCTCGGGCTCCAATGGGCAGGCTGGGAGCGCGGCACTAGAGTATGGCACCAAGTTTTCTCGCTCGCTTGGGTGGGGCAGCGATGGAGATGGCGACGATGGCTCAGAGGAGTCGATTTTTGGGACTGGCGATGTAAATGACGTTAAGCTCAAGAGCTTCCCGGTGAGTTCAGGACCAGCAACCAGTTGGTTGTTAACAGTCTATACATACATATATGATGATAATTCTAAAGGTTTTTTCTTTTGCTTTGCTCCGAAGGTATGCGATGATCGGCATTCTGAGCTGATCCCCTGCTTGGATAGGAATTTGATATATCAGATGAGGTTGAAGCTGGATCTAAACTTGATGGAGCATTATGAGCGGCATTGCCCTCCTCCTGAGAGGCGATTTAATTGCCTGATTCCACCGCCACATGGCTATAAGGTCACTAGATTATCCTTTCTTTGTTTTTTCTTGTCTTCTCCTTGCCTTACTTTGATAACGTCTCCAAGCTACAAAGTTGCTGGAGTTGGGTTCCTACACTCACCATCTCAACATATATCTTCAAGCTGAACCACTTAATTTTGGTGATTATACATTATGTGGTCAAGCTGTCTTCCGCATGTAGATTTAGGTTTGATCATGGTTAGAATTTTGCCTGCTCTGTAGCTGGACAATCTTGTTACCTTCTCCTGACCTATCAAATTTGTACTTGTGTGAGATAGTTCTGTTTAATTTGATTCGTGCTAAGCCACATTAGTTTTGCAGGTTCCCATAAAATGGCCAAAAAGTCGCGATATAGTGTGGAAAGCAAATATTCCTCACACTCACCTTGCAAAAGAGAAGTCAGACCAGAACTGGATGATTGATGCAGGCGAAAAAATTAAGTTTCCAGGTGGCGGAACACATTTTCATCATGGAGCTGACAAATATATATCAAGCATTGCAAATGTAAGTATGTTTTAGCTTCTTCACAGTAATGCTCTGCTAAAGATACGCTACACATATTTGAGCACCATGCCCTGTGAAGCTTCACTTTTTCTGACTGTAAGCTTCACTTTGTGATTCATTTCTTCTACTATCTGACAGATGCTAAACTTCAAAGATAACATTATAAACAATGAGGGAATGCTTCGTACTGTACTTGATGTGGGCTGCGGAGTGGCTAGTTTTGGAGGATATCTTCTTTCATCGAATGTCATAGCGATGTCTTTGGCACCAAACGATGTACATCAGAACCAGATCCAATTTGCTCTTGAAAGGGGGATCCCTGCTTATCTTGGTGTTTTGGGAACAAAAAGGCTTCCATACCCCAGTAGATCGTTCGAATTAGCCCACTGTTCTCGTTGCAGGATTGATTGGCTTCAGAGAGATGGAATTCTTATGCTTGAACTGGACAGATTACTCAGGCCTGGAGGTTATTTTGCTTATTCATCTCCTGAGGCATACGCACAGGATGAGGAGGACCGTAGAATCTGGAAAGAAATGAGTTCCCTTGCAGAAAGGATGTGCTGGAAAATTGCAGAGAAAAAAAACCAGACAGTTATTTGGGTCAAGCCTCTGAACAATGATTGCTACAGGAGCCGGCCGCGTGGTACAAATCCACCTCTATGCAAAAGTGGTGATGATCCAGATTCAGTATGGGGAGTGACAATGGAAGCTTGCATTACTCCATATCCAGAACGTGCGTATTTATCCTATTCCAGTTGTAGTTTTTTTTACTTTTTATTGCTTATCTACTGGCTGAATACTTGATATATTGTCATCTTCCTTCTCTAGTGCTTGTGGTACTTCAAATTGGTCGGCTTGTGAATTGTTCCATGGGTGTTGTTTGCTGCACGTTAGATTACTGTTGTTGGAAAAGAATTTGAGTGACAGGAAACATTAGCTATGATTTATAGTCACTGTGTGCTGCAAGGATGCATCTTTCCGTTTTGTTTTATCTAAAAAAAGTGTGCGCACACACATAAGCACACACACACACTTGTCAGTACTGGTAAACAAAGGATCTTCAGTTTGGGTTGTTTCCTCTTTGTCCCTCTCACCATGCTTCCCAGGAATGTTGGAATTTGGGAATTAAAGTAATAACCAAAGTAGCATTTGTGTTAATTTGTGGTTTCATGGAGGTTTGGTTATGCTAACAGGTAGGATGGTTTATGGTCATTAGTCTTGAAACGATCGAATCATCCCTGTACTCTGTCAGCAGTAAAAACATGGAGATATATACCATTTCTTTTCTTCCTTTTTCCTCACGACATTTTGCAGCTAATTTACATCTCAAGTGAAGTGACAATTGATTTAATATTTGCAGAAATGCACAGGGATGGGGGAAGTGGATTGGCTCCTTGGCCTGCTCGATTAACAACCCCACCTCCTCGTCTTGCAGATTTGTATGTTACAGCTGACACATTTGAAAAAGATACGGTAAGTTGATCATATTATGTCTTCATAACTTCAATTATGTCCAAATAATCCTTCAAGGATCTTAGATGAAATGTCTCCATGCAGGAAATGTGGCAGCAAAGAGTAGACAATTATTGGAATTTATTGCGCCCAAAGGTAAAACCAGAGAGTATTAGAAACATCATGGACATGAAAGCAAACTTTGGATCATTTGCTGCTGCTCTCAAGGAAAAGGATGTATGGGTGATGAATGCTGTGTCCCATGATGGACCAAACACTCTTAAGATAATCTATGACAGAGGGCTCATAGGCTCTACACACGACTGGTATGCTTCAATTCACATTAGGACTATGGTTTTGTTAGATTTTAGTACATAGAAGGAGATTTTGATCCTCGTATCTGCAAGGCATTAATAGGGTTTTATGATGGAAACAGTACTGCTACCAACCTTCTTAATCATTGGTTGAGCTTCTCATGTGCCATTAGAACATTAAGGATAAAACCCTCATTGCTTTGGCAGGAAATATTCCTTGCTAGAATTTACCCCTGGTATTGCATTGTGTCACCTCAGTAAGTTCGAGGAAAGTAAACATTGTGAGATCAGTAGGTCTATTATGCTACTTGCCAAGCTTTCATCTCAGAATATGTTGTTGCTATCAAAACAAATTAGTTAGCTTGATGCGATGGTAGTTTAACCCTTTGCCTTTTTTCCTTTAGTGTCTTAATTTTTTTAAGCTGCAACAGTACACCTTGTATGTCGCAGTTCAGCAGTTCCATTCGTTGTATTCTTGTGCGCTTACAGTGAAATGACAATAAAGCCGTAGAGCTCGAAGCCGGAAGCCCTTCTCTAGGTTTTCAAGAAATAGAATCACTTTCCAAGATACTACGGAAATGGAGAATATATTGTTGAATAAAAAAACCATTTTTCTGGATCAGAGTGAAGTGTCCATGATTTCTTTGCAAATGTTTATTTTCAATTACTGCAGCTTTCTCCCTGCAGAATTATATGCAGTTTGTACCGTTGCTGGCCGGTTTGTTAGGCAGCTGTATTCAAATACAATAATTTGTTTGCAGGTGTGAGGCATTCTCTACTTATCCTCGAACATATGATCTTCTACATGCGTGGACAGTCTTCACCGACCTTGAGAAAAGAGGTTGCAGTGCTGAAGATCTGCTCCTTGAAATGGATCGTATACTCAGGCCAACTGGTTTTATCATCGTGAGAGACAAGGCCCCTATCATTGTATTCATCAAGAAGTATCTCAATGCACTTCACTGGGAGGCAGTAACCGTTGTGGATGGTGAGTCCAGTCCGGAATCTGAGGAGAATGAAATGATACTCATAATCCGGAAGAAATTGTGGCTACCAGAAGCAGGTTCACAGGACTCGACGTAATCCTTTGGTCCGAGTTTCTTTGGCATCGTCAGCATCTGCAGCTCAGGAGCCAAGAAGCGAAGGCTCAGTTGCTCCCTCCAAATTCGTGATTCAGTATTGCTGCTGCAGGAGTAGAATTCCCAGTCCTACTATCCACGTGAAGATAGAATGTTTCTCAGGATATGGCAAGTATCCGGAAGGCTGAGCTCAAGCCCTCTCTCCTTTTGTTGTCTCCACAGATACTGTAATCGTAAGTTAATGTTTGTTCTCTAGCCTGGTTAGGAAATAAACCTTTTTCTTGTTGAGCTTCAGTTAGGTGCTTCCCGTCCATTTGTTGAAGCGGCGTTAGTAAACAGATTTGGTGCTTATTGTAAGAAGATTCAACTGTAAACATATTTTGGGGAAATGAGGTTTAGCTAGGGATAGTGGCCTCAAACCACCAAGGAATGTATACCTGAAGAATGTGGTGCTTCTGAAGTTCTGTCTGTTCCCCCTCTTGTCTCTTTCTTAACCGATAGAGCTAGCAAATACAACACCGATAGACGCTGAAGAGAGAATAGTAGAAAATCAGGAAACGCTTGTGACAGAAATTACCCCCAAATCGTCATTTGTTCACATTTTTTCCCCTAATTTAAATATTTCTTTCACATTTTTTACCCCCAAGATTGATGCTTGTCACAAAAATTACCCCCAAATCGACATTTGGTCATATTTTTACCTTTAGTTTAAAGATTTGTTCCTCATTTTGCCCTAGTATGATACAAATTACCCTCAATTTTACTTCTATCCCAATTTGATGTCGATTTGGCATGCCATGAACTCAGTTTTTTGGCCATTGGTTTTGTTTCTGTTTTTTTAATCATGAACCGGTTAAACTCCGGTGCACCCAACGGGGCCTGTGTTTGTGCCCACGAGGTCTGGACGCGCCAAACTGGTTTGGCCGCACCAGGTTGTCGCGCCCTCTTCGCGTGGCGGAGAAAGGGCCGCGCCTGGTCATTCTTCTTTCGGTATGTTATTGAGTCAAATACACTGATGGTACATCAAGTTGCATAGGATGATCACTTTAGTGTCCAAAATTGAAAAATACATAAAACTAGTGCTCAAACTTGCCTCGCGGTGTAAATACAGTGTAAAATCCGTTTGTAAACGTAGTCGGCGCCCGGGGTGCCACCATGTCACCTAGCCCACTGTCACTGACTGGGGCATCACATTTTTGTGAAAGAAACCCCTGAATTAGTTCCAAAACATATGTAAATTATGATAACAGTAATATAAATTAGTTAGAATATTCGTGTGTAGTACTTAATATACCTAGTAATGAAATAACTTACTTTAGAAAATGATCACGTAATTTTGGGAACTATTCATGTAGTACTATTTTTAAAATATTCATATAAATAAAATAATATAATGATTTATAAAAATATTAGTATAAAAAGTTTTCATGTATCTAAAAAATATATTAACGAAAATTTGAATTTTTAACATGTAAATAAATGTTCATATAATTTAAAAAATGCTCATGCTTTCAATCAAATATATTTATGTATAGTATGTGTTGATGCTTTAAGACTCTTTTAAACGAAAATAATATTAAAATTTTGCATGGAAAAAATAAGTACGAGCCTTGTGTGACAGCATAGTAGTTCCTCAAATAATTTATATTATTTTAGTGGTATGAATATTTTATAAAATAATAATTTACATTTTTTTATGTCTTAAGAAGAGGAAATATCTAACATATCGAAAATAGGCCGCACTGACTATGTCCATTTATGCCCCACGAGGGTGTTCAGTTATACAACATTAAGCTCGATATTGTTTCAACACGAAATGTTCTCTAGTGTAGTGGCTAGCGCAGTTGGCAGGAGCGCAGAAGTTCATTCACATGTGGGACCCCATGTTATAGAGATGGATAATGCTGTTCTAGGAATTTTTATACCAAATTTAGTATTAATTCAGGGCGGTTTTCACAAAAATGCGATAATCTAGTCGTAACAGTGGGCCAGGTGCCATGCTGATACGCCACGTAGGTGCCAGCTTCGTCTACAAACGGATTTTGCACCGTATTTGCACCGTGAGACAAGTTTGAGCACTAGTTTCATGTATTTTTCAACTTTAGGCACCAAAGTGGTCATCCTATGCAACTTGATGTACCACCAGTGTTTTTTGCCTCTATGTTATTCTGCTCCCTTCTCTTTCCTTTCCCAGGCCCGCTACTTTCCTTTTTCAACGAAGTTGGCGTCGAGCCGATCACGACGACGGAGCAGGCGGTGTTGCCTTTCAGAGGTAAGCTTTCCTCCTTCTCCATGTCCATGTCCATCTCCAGAGGTAAGATCCGCCTCCTCCTTGTTTCATATAGTCCATCTCCATGTCAATGCGTTGGATCTGCTCCATGCCAGTGTGATGGCTGTGCTCGGTAGGCTGTCCTAGATGGCTCTATGTATGGTGCCGCCGTCCAGAAGTTTGTTTGTAAGAAGAATGATATTTTTTTTGCTAAATTTGCGGTTTAAGCATAGATAAAGGCATGCCTTTGAAGAGTTAGGGCTAAGGATTGTTGGCACAAACGGAAGAATTTGGAATATATGAAAAGTTAAGGTTTAGGATTGTACCACTAAGACTTGCAATTATTGCCAAATTTCAATTAAGGTGTCATAAAAATTCAGTTATTTAGGTCAAAGTTCAGTTATCTCTGCGAAAGTTCAGTTTCACGTGTTCAAAAATTCAGTTAGTAAGGTACTGTTATTTTGTCTTTTCAGATGGATCAGTGGTGGTTGGTTAGGTTCCTTGTACACATTCAATCAACTATTCAACCTCTCTTGAGCCTTGGCATCTAGACACATTTACTTTTGATAACTTGAAGGATGAATTGGTGCAACTAGGGTTAAAGCAGAAATGATTTTATTTACTATAGAAGAAAATTAAAAAATGTTGAACCCAACTAATAGGAGGATGAGCATGATTGAACTAACATATCAAACTACTTCCCCCGTTCCTAAATATAAGTCTTTTTAGAAATTCCAATATGGACTAGATACGGATGTATATAGACATAGTCTGGAATGTAGATTCACTCATTTTGCTCCGTATATAGTCCATATTGAAATCTCTAAAAAAACTTATATTTAGGAACGGAGGGAGTACAATTGAGAACATGGTTGAAGAATACAATGCATGACAAAGTGTTGAATTGCATTGTTATAGGAGGCCTGGCTGGTTTACTGAACCAACTCTAGCTGATGTTGACCATGGAGTAGTTCTTGTTGAGCATGGAGCAGTTGCTGATGATCAAGCTCCAATTGATGTTGCTCCTGCTCCAATTAATGTTGACTCTGCTCCAATTCCTGTTGATCCTGCTCCAATTGCTTTTGCACCTCCTCCTGACGCTGTTGGTTCTGCTCATAAGATTTATGCTGTTGGTCTTAATAATGCGTAGGTGCATGTAGTGGCTAGTCAGGATTAGCATTCAAGGTTTGCTGAGAATCCATATGGAGAGAAAGAAATTCAGTTAACACAAGTGAATGGTTAAGATTAGTGTCATTTGCTCTCAGATGAAGAGTATAGTGATGCTGGTGAAAAAGTTCAACAGATATACAATGAGCACCTTGCCTATAACTCGAGTGATGATGAGGAGTTTGATATTTATGTTGAGACCAAAAATTCGAGAAAAGGATATGAAGAGAAGAGGTAGAAATAGAAGGCAGAAAAGGGTTTTCAATCATAGGATGAGTATGCGGATTTGTGTGACGCCCCGAGACCGATGTGACAGGTGTCTTCCAGTTATTCGCTATTGTTTGCCTTGTCATTTCTTGCTTGTCATGCATGTCATATCATGTCATCATGTGCATTTCATTTGCATACGTGTTCGTCTCATGCATCCAAACATTTTCCCCGTTGTCCGATTTGCAATCTGGCGCTCCTATGTCACCCGGTGTCCCTTTCTACCTTTTTTCGTGTGCGGATATTAAACGTTTTCGGATTGGACCGAGACTTGTCATGCGGCCTTGGTTTACTACCGGTAGACCGCTTGTCAAGTTTTGTATCATTTGGACTTCGTTTGATACTCCAACGGTTAACCGAGGGACCGAAAAGGCCTCGTGTGTGTTGCAGCCCAACACCCTTCCAAAGTGGCCCAACACCCACCTAAACCCCCCCTTCATCTCATTCGTTCGATCACGATCGCGTGGCCGCAAACCGCACCTCATTTGGACTCTCCTAGCTCCCTCTACCTATAAATATGTGGCCTCCCCCGAAAATTCCGCGGTACAAACCCTAGATCTCTCCTCTCCGCGCCACCGGACAAATTTTCCCACCGACGGACATGTCCACCACCGCCCCGCAGCAAATCGGAGAATGCCAAGTGGCAGCCGCGCCTCCCCCGCTGCTGCGGCCCGCCGGGGCCCGGATCGGGCCCTCCCGGCCCGGGACGCCGCCGCCGCCACCCGCGGGCGCCCGAGCCCCGCGCCGCCGCCCG